AGAAATGGAGATCACATGGAGGGTTATCAGTGTTGAAGGGGAGAGGGAGAATGGGAGAAAAAGGCACAGAGAATGACAATTATAATTGGTAGGCATAAAATAAACAGGGAGAGGTTAAGAGGATATAGGATATGGAGAAGTCAAAGATTGTATATGTACAACTTATAGTCATGAACTAAGGGGGTAGGGGGAATGCAGGAGGGTGGAAGGGTGCAGGTTGGAGGACAATAAAGGGAAGAAAAATTGGGAAGACTGTAATAGCATAATTAAGAAAATATACTTTTAAAAAGATAAAGGATACAAGTAAATAAATAATTAAAAATAAGAGACTAGTTGGAGAAAAAGATCCACCACAGCACTATCAAGAACAAGGGAGCTAAGATTAATACAGGTGGGATGGGAATAAGAGGGAAAAAAGAAATACAGAAAAGTTTAAGGGATGTGTAGAGGAGAGGGAATTGATTTTGAGATGATAGAGGGAGGGGGAATACTAAGAGTGAGGAAAGAAAACCATGCTAAGACATGGAAAAATTGAAATTTGAGATGAAAAACAGAAATGGCAAGATGAAAAAAAACAGAAAAGAAAAAAGAATCAGGCTAAGACAGGGAAAAATTAAAATTAGAGCCCCCCCCCCAAAAAAAAAGAATGGTCAGGATGAAGGTACAATGGAGTAGTAGAGGGAAACAGTAAAATTTGAGATTTAAAATACAAGAATACTGAAGATCCACAAATAAAATTTAAGAAATGTAACAACTACTGTATCCACAACCAATGAGCAGAGATTGATAAAGGTGAATAGAAAATGCATGTATCTTAAGAGTGGGAAAAAGAATGTGAATTGACCACTGACAGCAAAATTTGTTTTGAGAGGCCTCATGGGTGAGAAATATTAAGAGTTCAGAATAGAAACAAATGTAGCATGATAAAATGCAAAAATTTAAATACAAATAAGAAGAGGAAAAAAGAAGGTACAATGGGGTAAGAGAAAGGAGGAGCAAAGTGTGAGATTTTAAATAAACGATAATATAAAATCTAGTTGCTTAACATGCACAAACTTAAAGGTCAAGAAATGAATGTTAAAAAGCTATGCACAAGAGAAAATTTCACAAATCATGAAGACCGTGGTAGATTTATTCTTGATTGCATCTAGTATTTACCATTGTTTTTTTTTTTTCTTTCTTTCTGGATCTGCCTCTGGTGATTTCAGCTGATGTCCCAGTCTGGCCTTAGGCAGACTGTTTGGGACTACCAGGTATCCGCAGTCTGTGGCTGACTCATTCAGTTGTTAATATAGTCATTCTGTACTCAGCAGTCAGGCTTAAGCACTGCAGGGTGGGGCAGAGTAACTGCTGTGGGTAGATTTATTGCTTCCCCTCAGGCTAATGGTACTTGGAAAGGAGTGATCTGTCTGAGCAGATGGCTGTTGCAGTATGGGAGATGATTTAGCACAGAGATCCTGGTGGCTTCTCTCTCAATTCTCTCCTCAAATCCACCAGCCCCAGCCTCTCTTCAAGCATCTCTAGTCCACTCTACTGCATCTTTGCCGGAGCCCTGGATAAGCGGCTGCAAATGAAAATATATGTATTGGCCCTTTAAAAGGCTCTTTGTGTCTCCAGCTGTCTGTCCCTAGCAGAAAGAAACCCTGTTGCTTTTTGCAGTTGGGTGTTATCTGGGTACATTTTGGGCTCTGATGATGTGAGCTGGAGAGTCCAGCTTGGGGTTTAGACTCCACATTTCTCAGGGGGAACTCCCTGGAGGCTGAAATATTCCTCTGGCACTTCAGCTGCTACCCGTAGGAGCCCAGCCAGCCCTCTCAGGTCTCCACAGTCCATACCAGTCACATTGTGGTGGAGCTGTTTCTTCTGTCTGCCTGTTGTTACAAGGCTTCTTTATTGCTATTGTTCAGTTTTTTTTTATTCTGGATGACTTCCCCACAATTTAGTTATAATTCTAGATTGGTCCTGGGAGGAGATTAGCATAGCTTCCACTCACTTCTCTGTCATCTTGGATCCCATCCTCAGACATTTCTAATAGCAATACTTTTTCTGCTATATTTTCTTAAGCAAGGGAAACAAAGAAAAAAATAAATAAATGGAACTACATCAAACTAAAATGTTTTTGCACTACAAAGGAAACCATCAATAAAGTGAAGATACAATGCAATGTGAAAACATATTTCTCAATGGTACATCTGATCTGAGGTTAATGTCCAAAATTTATACAGAACTTATATAACTGAACACCAAAAAGCATACAATCCAATTAAAAAATTGTCAAAGTAACTGAATAGAAAAATCTGCAAAAAGAACATGCAGGTGACCAACAGACATATGAAAAGGTGTTCAAAGTCACTAATCATCATGGAAGTACAAATTAAAACCACAATGAGATATCACTTCACACCTGCCAGAATGGCTACCATCAATAAATCAACAAACAAGTGCTGGTAAGGATGTGGAGAAAAGAGAACCCTTGTGAATTGTTGGTGGGAATGCAGATTGGTTCAGCAAGTATGAAAACAGTTTAAAGTTACCTCAAAAAATTTAAAATTAAACTGCTTTATGACCCAGCAATTGCACTTCTGGAGATATATCAGAAGAAGTCCAAAATGCTAATTAAAAAAATATATGCACCTCTATGTTTATTGAAGCATTATTTACAATAGCCTAGATTTGGAAGCAGCCCAAGTGGCCATCAGTAGATGAGTTGATAACAAAGCTGTGGTACATTTACAGAATAGAACACTACTTGACTATTATAAAGTTGGAAAGCTTACCCCTTGCCACAGCATGGATGGACCTGGAGAGTATTATGCTAAGTGAAATAAGCCAGTCAGAGAAAGACAAGTACCATACAATCTCACATTTAAATAGAACCTAATCAACTAAACAAACAAGCAAGCAAAATATAACCAGAGTTATTGAAGTTAAGAACAATCTCACAGTGACCAAAAGGGAAGTGGGAGGGGATAATGGAGGAAAAAGAGGAAGGGTTTTCAGGAACAACTATAAAGAAAATATGGACAAAACCAAGGGAGGTCAGAATCAGGGGAGGGACATAGAAATGGCTGGGGTTGGGGGGTGGAGAGAAAATGCAGACAACGGTACTGAACAACAATAAAATATTTTAAAAATAAATGAATAAAACATAAAAAGACAATACTTTGATGAAAATGAAAATAGAAACACCATGTACAAAACTTATGGGATGCATCTAACATGGTGGTGAAATAAAATATATAGCTATAAACACGTACATTTTAAAAAGGCATACTAAACCAAAAACTAGCACAAATTAGGAAATAAAAATTACACCAAAAGTAGATGAAATAGCCCTGGTTGGTGTAACTCAGTGGATTGAGTGTGGGCCTGTGAACCAAAAGGTCGCTGGTTCGATTCCCAGTCAGGGCACATGCCTGGGTTGTGGGCCAGGTCCCCAGTGGGGAGCGCATGAGCAGGAACCACATTGATGTTTCTCTCCCTCTCTTTCTCCCTCCCTTCCCTTCTCTTTAAAACTAAATAAATAAAATCTTAAAAATAGTAGATGAAAAAGTGAGTAGAAATCTATCCTAACAAAAACTTCAACTTACAATTATGATATGACCCAGCAACACCATTCTTAGGTATACACAAGAAAATGATTGAAAATGGGCATTCAAACAAGGATTTGTATGCAAATTTTCTTCATTGTAGCACTGTTCATAGTAGCCAGCAGATGAAAATAATTCAAATGTTCATGAGCTATTGCGTGGATAAAGAAAATGTGGCATATCCATACACTATAATTATTTATTGATAACAAGGAATGAAGTACTGATACATGCTACAACATGCGTGAACCTTGGAAACATTATGGTAATTAAAAGAAACCAGGCACTAAAGATGATATATTGCATGATTTCACTTATGCGAAATATCATGAATACAAATATCCATAGACACAGAATGCAGATTATTGGATGCCAGACATTGTGGAGAGAAAGTAATGGAAAGTAATTTCTTAATAGATATGAGGTTTTCTATCGGGAAAATGAACATTTTATGGAACTAGACTTGGTGGTGGTTGCAAAACACTGAATATACTAAGTGCCACTGAACTGTACCCCTTCATATGGTTAAAATGTTGTATTTTATTTTAGGTAAATTTATATCTATTTGAAAACAAAAATTATTTAGGTAATGTGAGAGAATTCCATAATGCTCTCCCCAACACAAACACAAGATTCTGGACCCCTGTTCACTCAATAAAATACTAATAAAAGCTTTTGTAATTCAGTTTTGCACATGTAATTGAATTTCTGAATGATTTGACCTTAAAATGTTGAGATTATCTGAGTGGATTTGACTTTATTACCTGAACTATTAAAATACAAACAATTTTCTCCAGATGGAGCAGATATGGAAGTCAGAGAAACTCTAAGTGTGAGAGGGATTTGAAATAACAATGGTTCTCTCTTGCTGAGATTGAGGGGGCTGGCTGCATGTAGGTGCTGAGACCAGTCCCTGCCTGGCAGCTAGAAAAAAACCTGACCATGGTCCTATATCCCTGAGAAACTGGTTTCTGCCAATAACAAAAATGCTCTTGGAAGTGATTTCCTGGATTTACCACTAGATGAGAGCACACAAGCCAACCCCTTGATTTTAGCCTTGTGATTCTCTGAGCAGAAAACCCAGTCATTCTGTTCCTGTTTTCTTTACTGTAGACATTGTGTGATAATAAATTTTATGTATATGCCTCTAAGTTTGTAATAACTTGTTACATAGCAATTGAAAAAAATACAGGGAATTAAAGACTTCCGGCCAAGATGGAGGCATAGGTAGACATACTGTGCCTCCTCACACAACCAAAAGAAGGACAACAACAATTTAGAAACAAAATAACAACCAGAACTGAAAGAAAATTGAACTGTATGAAAATCTAACAACCAACAAGTTAAAATAGACACATTCATCAAGAATGGTAAGAGGGGCAGAGTCAGGCAGCTGGGTGGTGAGGGGTCATGTCAAAAAAAGCAGTGGCTGGTGGACCCCAGGTGTGCAAGGAAGCAGCTGACAGACTCCGGGTGCTCAAGATTGCAGAGGGTGGACCGTGGGCAAGAAGGCAGCGGCTGGAAGGCCACAGGCATGGAGTGGCAATGGGCAGACCCAGTGAGGCAGCAATTGTGGAGCAGGGCACAGCACACAAGGTGGCTAATGAGATGGTCCCACATTCACACACAGATAAACAAGGTGAAACTGGGGAGTGAGACAGACCGAGCAATCCAGGGCCCCTGCATAAGGAAATAAAGCCTCAAAACACTTATTAAAAACACTGGTGGGGGTTGAGGTGCCGGGAGAGACTCCCAGCCTTACAGGAGAGTTTGTTGGAGAGACCCACAGGGTCCTAAAATGTACAGAAGCCCACCCACATGGAAATCAGCACCAGAACAGCCCAGTTTGCTTGGGAGGAGTGGCAGAAGGGATTGAAATCTGACAGAGAGCTGAGCAAGTGCCATTGTTCCATCTTTGACCCCTCCCCCACATACAGCATCATGACCCAGCAACTAGGTTGCCCCACCCTGGTGAACACCCAAGGCTCTGCCCCTCATATGCAACAGGTGTGTCAAGACAAAAAAAATGGCCCAAATGAAGGAACAGATGGAACCTCCAAAACAAATACAACTAGGGGACCAAGAGATAGCCAACCTATCACATGCACAGTTCAAAGCACTGATGATCAGGATGCTCACAGAATTGATTGAATTTGGTCACAAATTAGATGAAAAAAATGAAGGCTACACTAAGTGAAATGAAGGACAATGTACAAGGAACCAATAGTGATGGGAAGAAAACTGGACTCAAATCAATGGAGTGTACCAAAAGGAAGAAAGAAACAACCAAACAGAAAAGAATGAAGAAACAAGAATTCAAAAAAGTGAGGAGAGGCTTAGGAACCTCCAGGACATCTTTAAATGTTCCAACATCCAAATTATAAGGGTACCAGAAGGAGAAGAGGAAGAGCAACAAGTGGAAAACTTATTTGAAAAAATAATAAAGAAGAACTTCCCCAATCTGGGAAAGGAAATAGACTTTCAGGAAGTGCAGGAATCTCAGAGAGTCCCAAAGAAGTCAGACCCAAAGAGGAACACACCAAGGCACATCATAATTACATAATCATAATCTCCATAATTAAAATGGAGAGAATCCTAGAGACAGCAAGAGATAAGGAAACAGTTACCTACAAAAGAGTTCCCATCAGACTTTCAGCTTATTTCTCAAAAGAGACCTTGCAGGCAAGAAGGGTCTGGAAAGAAGTATTCCAAGTCATAAAAGGCAAGGACCTACATCCAAGATTGCTCTATCCAGCAAAGCTTTCATTTAAAATGGAAGGGCAGATAAAGTGCTTCTCAGATAAGGTCAAGTTAAAGGAGCTCATCATCACCAAGCCCTTATTATATGAAATGTTAAAGGGACTTATCTGAGAAAAAGAAAATAAAAAACATGTGTAGTAAAATAACAGCAAACTCACAGTTATTAACAACCACACCTAAAACAAAAGCAAAAACAAAGGAAGCAAACAACTAAAACAGGAGCAGAACCACAGAAATGGAGAACAAATGGAGGGTTAGCAACAGGGCAGCGGGAGGAGGAGAGAGGGGGAAAAGGTACAGAGAATAAGTGACATAGATAGTAGGTAGAAAATAGACAGGGGGGAGGGCAAGAATAGTATGGGAAATGTAGAATCTAAAGAACTTATGACACATGGACACAAACTAAAGGGGGGAAGTGGGTGGAAGAGGGTGTGCAAGGTGAAGGGGAATGAAGGGGGGAAATGGGACAACTGTAATAGCATAATCAATAAAATACATTAAAAAAGAAAAAAAACACAGGTTTTACTATATTTACAGATTTAGAAATATGCCCAAATACATTGTTAGGTTAAAAAAGAAAGCAAGTCTCAGAAAAGAACATATGGTTTGATTAAAATATGTGTATATACACAGTATTAAGTTTTATGTTTAGTAACATATTCCAGTAAAACAAACAGCTTTAGTAATGTGTTTAAGATTAGAAAATCCATTAGAATTACCTTTATTTCTGCTACAGAAAAGAGATGTATCTTAAACCATTTTATTAATATTATCAACAAAACTGAGTTTTAGTAGCATTTGAATACAAGCTTTCTTTCACAAAATCTTACTAAACAAATGCAACTAAATATTAGCTGATAGATTTTTTAAAACAATAATTTTCCCACTAGGCTTTACTGCATAACTCATGTTATAGTATAATGTTTCTAATGCTTTAAAACATTTGAAAATTTTAAAAGCCCATCTTTTATGACCATGAAACTGTTAAAAGTTTTAGCATTAGAAATAGTGTATTTGTTTAAAAAAAAACTTCTTTGAGTACTGAACAAGTTTCTTTTGCAGAGAAAATTTTAAGAAATTTAGTGACTTTAAAAGGTTATTTTCCTTCAAATTTTCATCTTGCTCCAAAGAATAATTTTTGCACTATCCTTAAATGATAAATTCACATTTATGATGTAATTCTTCCTTGATTTAGTAAAGTTTTCCTTTTACATAAGCATACGCATATAAAATAATTTCCACTGATGTACACAAACTGGATGGATTGTTTCATTTTTAAAAAAGAACTTAACTTCTAGCCAAGATGGAGGCATAAGTAGATACACTGTGCCTCCTCAAACAACCCAGTGAAAGACAACAACAAAGAAAAAACAACTAGAACTGACAGAAAATCAAACTGTATGGAAATCCAACAACCAAGGAGTTAATGAAGAAACATTAATTAAGACTGGTAAGAGGAGCAGAAATGGGCAGCCGGGGTGGAAAGGACACAAGGCAACATGGCAACTGGAGGACCAGGGTGAGCAAGGCAGTGGCTGGCAGACCAGGCAAGGAGACAGCAGGCAGAGCAGGGGGTCCCACATTTATGTGTGGATAAACTGGGAGGAGCAACTGGGTAGTGAGACACACCATGCAACCCAGGGTTCCAGTCCTCAGAAATAAAGCCTCAAAATCTCTGACTGAAAAAACCTATGGGGGTTGAGGAGACCGGAGAAACTCACAGCCTCACAGGAGAGTTCACTGGGGAGACCCACAGGGCCCCCAAGCATACACAAACACACCCTCCAGGGAATTGGCACCAAAAGGGTCCAATTTCCTGTGGGTAGCAGAGGAAGTGATTGAAAGATGGCAGAGAGCTGAGCAAGCAGCATGCTCCTTCTTGGATCCATTCCCCACATACAGTGCCACAATGCAGTGAAGTAGGTTGCTCCAACCTGACAAATACCTAAGGTTCCACCCCTTACTATGTAATAGGTGCACTGAAACAAAAAATTATGGCCCAAATGAAAGAACAGATCAAAGATTCAGAAGAAAATACAACTAAGCAATGAAGAGATAGCCAACATATCAGATGCACAGTTCAAAACATTGGTAATCAGGGTGCTCACAGAATTGGTTGAGTATGGTCACAAAACAGAGTAAAAAGTGAAGGCTATGCAAAGTGAAATGAAGGAAAATGTACAGGGAACTAACAGTGATGGGAAGGAAACCCGGACCCAAATTAATGGTGTGGACCAGAAGGAAGAAAAAAACTTTCAACCAGAACAGAATGAAGAAACAAGAGTTTTAAAAAAAATGGGGAGAGGCTTAGGGACCTCCAGGAAAACTTTAAATGTTCCAACATCCAAGTCATATGGATGCCAGAAGGAGAAGAGAAAGAGAAAAAATTGGAAACTTATTTGAAAAAAATAATGAAGGAGAACTTCCCTAATCTGGTGAAGGAAATAGACTTCCAGGAAGTCCAGGAAGCTCAGCGAGTCCCAAAGGAGTTGGACCCAAGGAAGCACACAAGGAGGCACATCATAATTACATTACCCAAGATTAGAGGTAAGGAGGGAATCTTCAAAGCAGCAAGAGAAAAAGAGAAAGTTACCTACAAAGGAGTGCCCATAAGACTATCACCTGACTTCTCAAAAGAAACCTTACAGGTAAGAAGGGGTTGGAAAGAAGTACTCAAAGTCAGGAAACGCAAGGAACTGTATCCAAGATTACTCTGCCCAGCACAGCTGTCATTTAGAATGCAAGGGCAGAGATGGCGGCTTTACCCTAGGCAGCGTGTTTCTCGGCTTCTGTGAAGAGGAGGGAAACTCGTGGATTGGTGGAGAAACAGAGCAAGTGGCCTAGGTTACCGAATCATTTTTGAAAGCAGGACATCAAAAATTATTGCAATCATTGAAAAACCAGATGGTAAGGAGACTGCTTCATGACAAAAGGGACCCAGGGATCAGCGCAGGGACCAGGGGTTTGCAGTCTCCAGGCCCAGTGCACCCAGGTCTGCCTCAGGGCTCCGGGGAGAGGGAAGTCACTGCTCCCTCCCCCGAATACAGGGGTTGAGCAACTCCAGGGGAGAACTTGTTGCTTGAAGGCACAGAGAGGCCAGTTGGACTGGGAAAAAATCGCCCAGGGACTGTGAACACCCACCCAGAGCTGTGGGAGAAGTGAGGGCGTCCAGCCAGCACGACCAGGGGCGGCCTGGAAGAGCGCTTGCACCCCTAGCCCAGTGGGAGTGTGGATCAGTGGACAACCCAGAGCCAGGAAAGGGCACGGGCATTCTCAGGTTTCGGGAGCCTGCGGTTCTGAACTGTAGAAGTGTGCGCCCCATCGGGAATCCTGACTCTCGTGCTGTGATCCCAGAAGGGACGCGGTGCTTAGTGCATTCCTAGAGCCCGAAACTCAAAAATTTGGTGGAGGGGCATGCCCTTTTACGATTCCCAGGGAGGGCACAGTGAATCCCAAAATGTCGCGGGTGCCTCCTGAGATCATAGAGCTGGAACCCTGCAGGGACCCTGGAGTACGGAAGAATGCGGCAGTGAGCTCCGGAGAGCAAGTGTGCTCTGGAGCTCCCAGGGTACCTGAGAGACTTGCTGAGATTTGGCTGGGAAGAGTGATAAGCATTTCAAAGGCTCCTCAGCCAGCTGAAGCCAGCAAGATCAGAAAAACTGGTATGACCAGTTAGAAACCAACAAGAGGTTTGTTTTGTTTTGTTTTGTTTTGTTTTTTTGTGGCTGTTGTTGGTTGA